GAGATTATTTGTGCTTAATTGTTTGCACTGAATGTCACTTGCAAAGCAGGTGCAGAAGTATAATATCGTAAAGGGCTGTGCATTTTATTTTTGCTCCAGATTCTTACTTACAGGAGCCCAAAAACGTTACTTTGAAAAATTATCAATTTACTGTGACAGATATGCTGAACAAATTCCAGTAACCTTTGTGCTTGGTAAGTATAGGTCACACGCAGAATGCAGCCACACAGCTGTCTCCGTTAGGATGACACCGATGACTCTGCATGGGAGTGTTTCCAAGCTGAGAGGCATGCCTGAAAAGCCAGTGCTTGCAGTACAAACCAGAATCATCCTTAAGGTTGACCTTCAGGGTGGCTTTCGCTAAATTAACACCAAACAAGTCTGAGGTAATAATCTGCTCTTGGACAATTAAGCTTTCTCTTGACTAACGCTCCATTTTTGCCATCAATATTTGAGTTCTAATACCCACTTACTGGGTGCTACGGCATTGCCAGGCACAAATTACATTTTTTTTTTCTGGAGGGCAAAACCATTAGATATGGATAACGATGTATTTTTACCACCCGCCCCCGCCCCCATCCCTAAAAAGGCTAAAAATCTGCTAAAAGCATCAGTGTCGACAGTGTGTCTGCAGGAAGAAACTGCTTTACAGTTTCCTGTTACTCTACAGGGTTTTATGTCACTCTCGTAGTGAACCGATGGTGGAACCAGTTTGTGAACCTGCCCTGGCCGGACAGGCTGATGTTCCTCATCTCCAGCAGTGTCCACGGGAGCGACGAGCACGGCCGCCTGCTCAGGAGGACGCTGATGCGCTACGTCAACCTCACGTCCCTGCTCATCTTCCGCTCCGTGAGCACGGCTGTGTACAAGCGGTTCCCGACGATGGACCATGTGGTGGAAGCAGGTACTGTGAATGGCTTTTCCTTCCACGGGGCTCCACTCAGCCCCTGTGAGAACCTTCAGAGTTCCTTTGAAAATTCCTTTTATTTATTCATTCATTCATCATTCAAGAAACATTTACTGATTACTTGCCACATGCCTTAAGAGGCAAAAATGAGTAAGACATGGTTCCTGCCCTCAGGAAGTTTACTTTGGGGGCGGAGCAAAGGAAGCAGCAGTCAACCTCAAATGAAGTCGGGGACAGTCACACGGTCTTTAGGTAAATAAAATAATTATTATCATTATTTATTGAAGCCATCTGTAATGTTACCTTAATTTCCTAGCACTTAACAGTTTATGTACTTTAATAAATATTATTTCATTGGGACCTCAAAAAATAAAAGAGAGATTTCAGAGAGTTTACGATCTGCCCTGGATCACATTGGTCATTAGCCGGAGAGCCAACATTTCCATTCCTGTTGTTGACAGATCTGAGAGTTTGTTGGAATGTATCAACAAATAGTAGAAAATACCAGAACCATGAGATGATCCTGCCTTTATATTGAGTACAGTCTCAAGTTAGGTTGCAATATCCAGTCTTCTTTTCTAAAATGTCCTTGAAAATAGATTTTTTTTGGGGGGTGGCTTCTGTTTTTAATTGTATTTTGTATTGAAGTGTGGTTGATATACAGTGTTAGTTTTAGATGTACAGCAAAGCGATTCAGTTATACATATACATATGTATATATATTTTTTCAGATTCTTTTCCATTATTACAAGAAATTGACTATAGTTCCCCGTGTTATACAGTAGAAAATAGATTTTTTGAGAAAAACACTTTTTGTTTGTTTTTGGAGGTTTGCGGGGGGCTTTTGTTTGATTTGGTTTTGCCTTCTTGGATGGGTGATATAAACAGGAATTAAAAAGCCAGAGTAAGAGTTCACATCCTTACTCTACCACTTACTAGCCCCATGACCTTGTCTGAGTTACTTAGTCCTTCTACGCTTCAATTTCCTCACCCATGAAATGAGTTTATAGTGATTTATAACAGCATCTATCTCATACACTTCCCATGGGCTTGTTGTGAGGATTAAATAAGTTAATATTTGCAGTGTTTGGAGCGGCACCTGGCACATGGTGTGACATGGGTTCTTGCGGTTAATAATGATACAATGGTCCAATGGCACACATAGCCCTTTGGTCACTTTAGAAGACCCATTTGATACGACATTCCAGGTCTTCTTCAACTGCTGTGACCAGGAGGCTGGGAAAGTCACGGTGGAAATACGAAAGGAGGAGTGTAGAGGGTGTTATTAGGGGTATTGAGAAAGTAATGGGATGGAAAGAGTTGGTTAAGGATTCAGATGAAGGGAACAAATAGCCTCACAAATGCACAGGTATATTATGATATAAAACCAGCTGGAACTTAAAAAAAAAATGAACTACCACACCTCCTTGAAATTTAACGGTTGAGTACGGATTCAGAATGACCAACTTGAAAATGCCATCTGATAGCCTCACTTTCTCACCCCAATGTCTAAAGGAATCAAATGCAATAAGAATTCTGACCTCTGAATAAAGTGCTGAAAACAAACGACAAAGGTTTGGCCCACTCCAGATGGATGAGTGAGGGCTGAGGTTTACTTGGCTGAATAAAGGGGACATTTCTCTAGTCCTGACGCATCCTTGGAAAGAAGAGAGCGCATTCTGACAGGAATCGGACTCCAGGCCCAACTCTCAGAGGGAGTCTCATCCTCTCAGCGTCACCTCCACGTGGAAATCAGGCCGGGAGGCAGCCAGGGTCAGCTGGCGATGGAGAGGCCTCTGGGGCCTCTGGGGCTTCTGGTCAGACCTGGGCTCAACGAGGCCTGAGTTGTGCTCAGGTCTAAGCAGGAAGTAGAAACGGCGCGATGAATGGGAGAACGCCGTGAACTCGTTTCCTTAAGGAGCATTTTTCATAATATCAAGTCTCACTCCTTGTCAAACTTTGACAAATGCCTGTCAGGTACTTGCATCCACCCTTTCCCCCTTTCCAAGGCATTTGGAACACTGGAATACTTCTCTCTCCCCAACTACCAACACCCCCAGCCATTCCAAGGGCATATGGAAACCATCCCTTCTTGATGCGCATTGAAACGAGCGTGTGTGTCTCGAAGTGTGATCCGCAGACCCACAGACCCACAGACCCTTTACATCTCAAATAACTTGAGTTGTTTATTTAAAATGCATACTCCTGGGCCCCACCGCTGACCTGCTGAATCAGAACTGTTGTATGGAAGGCCTAGGAAACCTGCTTTTAAACATGCTCTGACATTGTGTTTTTTAATACACTGAAGTTAGAGAAGTACTGAGTCTTTTCTGAGATGCTTGCTTCTCTAAACCCTTTTTCTCACCCCTGGGATAAAAAGACTTTGGCATCCATCAAATAATTCGTTACTAATATTTTTTAAAGTTGCGACTGTTAAGAAAAGGGGGTGAATTCAAGGTTTTGACCGTGCTGGAGGCTGCAGAATAGGAGGGTGGCTTCGGGGAGCCGTCTGGTCAGAGCTACCATCTAGGAGACTTGAGTTAGACCTGCCTGGACTAATTCAAGAAGCATCGTTCTGGCTTCAGTTTTTTGGTCAGTTTGTGCGGCGGGTCTGAAGGAGGAAGAGAATTGAGGGAGACGGGGGCGGGGCTAAAGCCTTTGCAAGTGCCCTCTGGGGCCAGCACCGATTAACGCAGTTACTCTGTTATATTCCTAAAAGGAAAGGCAGAAGGGTAGTGGATCCGCTTGCTCGCAGGAAAGCAAGATTTGCATATTAGGTGGTGGAGCAAAGGTTCTGAGCCACTGCCTGAGCAAGCTGGGGGACATGCTTCGGAGTCCGGGTCCTTCCTGGCTGCCCCACGGCCGCCCACGTGGGTGGGCACCCTCTCTGTTCACCGGCGGCCCGGACTGACCGGCCTTCCTGCTCCATGCCCCCAACAGAGAAGGCTGACTCAGTCTGCACGTGGGGTCAGTGTCTAGGCTCTCCCAGCTGGACACATGCCTCCACCACTCTCTGACTGTCCTCCGCCAGTGCCAAGGTTTCTGGGAAGAACAGGGAGTTCAGGGATGGCGGGAAATGTTTGGCAGATGCCCTGAGCCCAGAGCCAGGGCACCTGCTCTGCCTGAGGGCAGAGAGGGCTAGTAAGTAAAGCCCAGGGGCCCCAGAGGAGTGGGGCAAAGGCAGGAGGCAATGCTGGAGGCACCAAAGGCCTTGTGTCAGGTGACTTCCCTCCATAAAACCACCTGTCAGGGAAAGGACATGTTCTCAAACTTCAGTGCCCATTAGAGATGGTTAAAAATCAATATTGCTCAGGGGGGAGGGTATAGCTCAGTGGTACAGCCCATGCTTAGCATGCACAAGCTCCTGGCTTCAATCCCCAGTACCTCTACTAAATAAATAAAAATCTAATTAATTATCTCCCTCCAAAAGAAAAAAAATCAATATTGCTCCAAACGCAGATCCCAAGACACCAGCCCCAGAGTCCGATTCAGCAGGGTTAGGGTGGGGTCCAGGAATGAGTGTATTTAACAAGTTCCTGGAGATTTTGAGGTGGGA